TGTATCATGGACTTTCAGGGGCCCAGAAAGCACCGCTGTCACTGCCTTTATTAAAATCTTTAAATTATCCTAGTATACAGGAAAAGTTCTCAGGAACTCAATCACAAAAGATGATTTTGCCTTCAGACGCATCACTATTAATAAAAGCTATTTTAATGCAACAAGAAGTAGTCAAACAAAATTAATGCTAGAAAGTCCAAGAAATAACAAAATTTTAAAAGAGAGACATAGATAAGTAAATATAGATAGAAAAAGGGTTTCTTGGTATTCATTACAATTCATAAATAAATTGACAAGATTAAGACCACCTTGGTGTCTTTTGATAAAAGATCAACAAGAGAGCATTAAAAGGCAACTACAGACAGTAGTTAAAGATTAGAAAAATAGCTGGGAAAGATGGCTTCATAAGTCCCTAACATGAAATGATTTTTTAGGATCTAAGGGGTTAAAGAATGACTTGGAAGCCCGGTGGCCCACTACAAATAAGCAAGGAATGTTATCAAATAGTTAAAAATGAAATATCATGCACAGTTGATATTGAAAGTACTTGGTGGTTTAAGGTCGTTTTGACCTGAAAAACACAAAACTAAGCAGAGTTCTAAATACGTAATAAAAACTGGTAGTAAAAACCATAGTATCATAAAACAAGAGTTTGCTAACTAATACCAGGTTGATAAGATAAAGAAATGTGTTTTGGCTATATATAAAGGTTAGAAAAATTGTTTTACTTTACTAAAAATCTTAGAAGATAACTAATTACAGAACAGTCACGCTGATGATGAACTTTTACAATCTTTGCTGTATATATTTCAAATCTTACAGCTACAAAAATACACTCAGACTTTCATTAAGCTCCTTTGTGTCTGTTTGTCATTCGCCGACTCCTTGTCCACCCTCTCGACGACCCTGTTCCCATCGGACTAAACTGCCCCGGTCTGGGCTGGTCCGTTGCAGCCACCTCCTCCAGCGACAGCCTGGCCCCGCCCCCGCCGCCCCGAAGCAGCCCAGGGGCTCCCACCCGAGACCCTGCCACCGCGGCCGCCTGGTCCGGCCACTTGTAGAGCTGGCATCTCCTGGGACCTGGACACACTACTCTGCCCATCACCCGGACACGTGGGCTTGGGGGGGGGACGATCCCACGCTAGGCACCCCTAGTCCCTTCCGCGCTGAGGCTATGCTAATAACTCCTACACTTTCCACGGCGGGACCCTTGCACAGACAAGCCCTCTGCGCGTAAGCCCCGACGCCCCCATAGCCATGCTCCAACTCAGGTGTTCCGTTATCCCTCCCCGAACCCCGCCCACGCCACCATTCACACTCTACCGTTTTCCTTTCTGCACCCCTTCCTCCCCACCCCCACTTTTCTAATGCGGCCTTTCAGACCCCTCCTTTTTCCTTCAAGAGAACTTCCGGCCCCCTAACTTGGTGGGATTCCTCCTACTTAATAGTTCTAGGACCCGGATGCAGGGTTTTGCGCTTTTTTTCCTACCCCTCACATACAGACAGGGCCACACACAGCAAACATCCCCTTACACAACTTTGCCTTGAAGGCTCTGGGTGTGTGTGTGTGAGCCCTGAAGCCCCCTCATGACTCACCCTTCGTAAATCTAGGAAAATGGAGGTACAGCTTGAGATAGGAGGAAAAAAGTCAGAAAAAGCCTTATATCCTGTGCATCCCTTTGTCCTCTTGGATATCCCGTTGCCTCAGCCCAAGAGCTGAAAGCCTTGCTCAGCTTAGCATCCTCCACTAGCTGGGAAGGAAGGAGGTGGGTATGTGGAAGGAGGTAACCCATCATGGACCCCCATAGGAGAGCAAGGATCCATTCCTTCTTTTCTGTTGGGTAGTAAATAGGGAAGGGTTTATTTGTTGCCCCTAAAGCAGCACTTAATGTAGGGTGACCCAAAGGCTGCAGGGTCCTCAAGAGAGAGACTCCCATCCAGGCTGCTTACCTCACCCCAGCTCCCCAAGGAACTTGTCCCCTGGAGAAGCCACTGGAACTAATTAGCAACATTAACATCACAGGGAAAGAGCACAGTCACATTCTCTCCCCAGAGAAAGACTGGACCCTGAGGAGAGAGGAAGGGGTGCTGCTTAGGGTAGTGGTCTGCCCTCTAGTAGGGGTGTAACCAGCTTTCCAACTCCCACACTGATGACACATCTCCCTTCCAGTGCCAGAGGGCAGGAAGACAGGCTTGGGTGGTATTTTTCTAGGCACTGCCCCATGGTTTGAGAGTAGCCTCATGTCTGTCCACAACACCACATTCCTGCTCTCTGTTTGTCCAGTCTCTGTCTCTTCCTTCCCTGCCTTGGCCTCCCTTGTCCCTTGGCCTCCCGCCTCTCCCCCATCTTCCTTTCCCAGTTCTGGCTCTGTAGGAGTGGCTGGCATAGCTGTCAGAGAGATCCACTTGGCATGGCCAGGCTAGGGGCCAATGGCCTGCCTTGTGTTACAAAGGGAGGGTAGAAGGGGAAGGAAAGGAGGAAAGTGGTAAGGGTCCCCTTGACAGACTGGGGGAGGCCTGTTCCTCTCCCCACACCCACTTGGCCTAGCTGGCTCAACGGATGGCAGCAGCCTGGCCTGTTGTTGTTGGAGAACAGCCCATCTGGCAAGCTCCCTGCCTGGGCTCCAGCCAGCACCCACACCCCAGGCAGTCTCAGTCTCCCAAGGTAGAGCCAGTGCCCTCTGCTGGACAGCCTGGGGAACCCCACTCACAAAGACTGGGGCCTGGACAGTTTTCTATCCAGGTTAGCTAGGTCCTGTTCACCTGCCCCATTTCATGATTTTTTTCCTTCAGCCCTCAAAGTTGGGATGAGGAGGGCTGGTCTGGTTAACCTGATGCTCACTCTGTGCCCTATTCTCTACCTCAGCTGGAATTGTGGCTTGCCCTACACTTGTCTCCTCCTCCTCCCCGTCTTCATGCAGAGGAGGTAGACTTGCCTTACACCATGCACACAGCCCTATCTCTCCCCAGACCGGTGTTCTCTCGGCTATTAGCAACAGCCATCTGTGTTGGCTACTGCAAGAGTCTTTGCCCGGCCTAAGGGGTTGTCACAAGCATATTTCTCATCTTCCCTGTTGTTCGAGATTAAATTTCTGTGGCCCTATGGCAGAGAAGGAACTAGAAGGCCAATGAAGCACTTACCCAAGATACTAAATTTAAAGGTATACCAGCAAGATTCAGTAGGAATTTTAAGACTGTGGTTTTTGTTCTTTTTTTATTTTGCTATTTGTTTTGTGGTCATGGGGTCAAACCCAGAGCTTTAAGTATGCTAGGGAGATACTCTACCACTGAGCTACACCCCCAGCCCTAATAGAGTGGTTAAAAAAATCAAACAGAAAGCCGGGTGTAGAGGAGCACGCCTTTATTCCCAGCACTTGGGAGGCAGAGGCAGGTGGATCTCTGTGAGTTCAAGGCCAGTCTGGTCTACATAACAAGTTCCAGCCAGCTGGGGCTACAAGAAGACCCTGTCTCAAAAAGACCAAAAAAAAAAATCTTAAGGGTCTGTAGGGATGTCTCAGCAGTTAAGAGCACATATTGCTCTTGCAGAGGACCCATGTTCCACCCAGCACCCACATTAGTCAGCTCCAAACCACCTGTAACTCCAGCTCCAGAGGATTCAACACCTCTGGCCTCCATGGGCACCTGCACTCACATTCACATACCCACATACAGACACACACAAGCATGCTTTTTTTTTTTTTTTTTAATTGACAAAAGGGGCTAGAAAGATGGCTGAGGTTAAGAGCACTGATTGATCTTGCAGAGGACCCAGGTTTGATTCCCAGCACCCACATGGCAGCTAACAACTGTCCTAACCCCAGTTCCAGGGGATCTGATGCCCTCCTCTGACCTCTGCAGGCATTGCACGACTTGGGTGCACTTACGTATGTGCAAGCAGTACACTCATACACATCAAAAAAAAAAAATGCAGCTGGGCGTGGTGGTGCATGCCTTTAATCCCAGCACTCAGGAGGCAGAGGCAGGTGGATCTCTGTGAGTTCAAGGCCAGCCTGGTCTACATAGTGAGTTTCAGGACAGCTGGGGCCACAGGGAGACCCTGTCTCAAAAAGACCAAAAAAACAAAAAACCCCAAAACAAAATGCAAAGAACTCATAATGAATACAATATCCAATTTTGCATGTTCCTGTGTGTACAAGTTGTGTGTGTGTGTGTGTGTGTGTGTGTGTGTGCGTGTGTTACTCTCAGGGGCCATCCGCCTTGTTTTTGACACAGGATCTCTCTCTGCCCTGGAAACTCATCAAATAGGCTAGTAGATTGTCTGCCTCCCCCTTACTTCCCAAGTGGCATTGAGGCTTTTTTTTTTTTACTTTTTTTACCTTTTACTTTTTTTACACAGTACCAATTGAGCAACCTCCCCAGTCCTAATACCAAAATTTTAAATAAAGATATGTGTGTACACAGGGTGGGGTACTAAGTCGGAGTTCCAGAAGAATTAACTTTGTTCATTCATGCTAAGGCTGGATTTCTAGCCTAATTACGCAGATCTTTTGTCTCCTATCTGCTCTGAGTAAGTAGGTCTCTGACTAGGGATTTTGGTTTGGTTTGGTTTGGTTTTTTGATACGGGGTCTCACTACATGGCTAGCCTGGAACTCACTCTGTAGACCAGGCTGGTCTCAATCGCAACATAGATCCTCCTGCCTCAGCCTCCAGAGTGCTGGGGTTAAAGGCATGCACCACACCACCGCGCCCCACTCTGGGGACAATCTTCTAATGCGGCCTACCAACTCCCAGAAAAAAAAAAACTCCCGAAGAAGCCACAGATGTAGACTCTGTGATACACAGTACCTCATCCCTGCAAGTTCCTCCTCCTCTGTGGGCTGCAGACCCCGCAGAGTGAGAACAGGGAAGACCCCGCCCCCAGAGCGTCCCCTCCCCCTTCGCCCCGCCCCCCGCGCACCTGCAGCGTCTCGGGCTCAGACATCCGGATTTGGGGGGTTGAGGGGGGTGGGGAACGGAAATTCCCAGGCTGCGGACTAACCTTCTCACTTGGGGGCAGGGACCGCCCCCAAGGCTGGGGATCGCAGCCCGAGTCGGGAGGAATCGCGGTGATTGCGGCGCCCGTCCAGTGCTCGCTGACCCGCTGTCCGTCCCGCCTGGCGCTCCTAATCGCTGGGGGAACCAGACGCAGGCTGGCAGGAAGGAGGTCGGCCAGTGGGAGGGCCCGTGGGCCTGGAAGGGAGTCCAGGGCCCGGAGGCCGCGACAGGGCCGAGGGTAAGGGAAGCCAAAGCGCCCTTTAACCCGCCTCTCCCCCACGGGTCGCACGTTTACTGGCTTTTGAGGATACCGGAGGAAGCGGCTGGGCAGGGGAGGAGGGGAAAGCCCTGCAGGGCTTTCAGAGAAAGGGACACAGCTCATCTTGGGTGACCCAGTCTTCCCCAGCCTCAAATGTCCATAGGCAGCAGATGGGGGAGCCCCAAGGGGCTTGTCTCCCAACCCGTCTATGTTAGATGGGTCTCTGACCCTGGGGACGAGCCACTGCCTCACTCCAGGAAGGATTGTTGTGTAGGAGCAATAAGCAAATTATGCTGAGTCTGGGATGCAAATGTGTCTTAAAAGCCTATACAACACACACACACACACACACACAGAGGCCTCTTATTGAAAAGAGAGAAATGATTTTTTCAGGTGATCTACCATATATTCTAGGGTGGTGTGAGCTCCCTCATTGGGCATGCAAGTCCCTCACCCCCACCTCAGTCCTCCTTCCCAACCCCTAACCCTGGCCAGCCAGCCTTCCTGCAACACAGATCTAAGTCATTACTGGGTCACAGTAGGGTATTCTGAATGAAGTTAGGAACAACTTCCAGATTTTGAGAACTGAGACAATGGAGTTATCCAAAGGAAGTTTTGGAAGTGTCCTCTCTCCCCAACCCCTTCCCCATTTGCCCTGCCTGGTAAACAGGAAGATAGGCAGGAGTGGGGATGAGACTTAAGAAACATTAAAATTATCTAACAGGACTGGGGGTGTAGGTCAGCTGGTAGAGGGCTTGCCTAGCATGCACAGAGCCCTGAGTTCAAACCCCAGTACCACACAACTGAGCACGGTGTTGTATACCTGTGATACCAGCAGTTGAGAGGTAAAGGCAGGAGGATCAGAATTCAAGGTCATCCTTGGCAATTTGAGATCAGCCTGGTATACATAAGACCCTGTCTCAAAAACAAAAATAATCCAGTAGCTGTTTATTGAATACTTGCTGTGGGCAGGATTTCAAGACCACATCTTTTTCAAAGGGAACCCAGGTCCTATTATTTTAGGATAGGTTCTAAGTCTGGAAGATGAGGACAGTTTGGATTTAAATACCACTTCTTAGCTAAATTGTCTCTTGTGCCTAAGTTCAGCATTGTTCCTTCGGTGACCTTGATGTCCCCATTTTCAGGTTTCCACTCTGGAGGTCAGAGGTGATTCACAGATAACTGGGGGCTTAGGGTTGGAGGAGTGGTTGTCCAGGTTAGACCTTTTTTGTACTCAGCCCTCACTTTATCTTCACCCACCAGTGCCGGTGCCAGGACTGTTAACTCCAAAACAAAGCACTTCGGTGGACATTGCTGCTGCCAGAATTCATGGCCTTCACTTTTGGGGGCCTAACCTCTCCTTCTGGGGGAGGTCCACTCTGGAGGCCTCCCCAGCATCCTGAGGATGTTGCTGACTGAGGACCAACAGCAGACAGCCCAGCAAAGCTTCTCTCATGTTCTGGGAGCTCAGTTGGTGTGCCAGTCGCCGGAGCAGGGGTAGGAGGTGCTGGCGGGCCAGGCGGACAGCGGGCAGTAACAGGCGGGACAGCAGAGATCGGAGCAGCATCGGGAGCAGCGGAGCTGGCATGGCAGGGTCCAGACCTGAGAAAGCAACTCAAACTCTTGACTGCACCCACCTCACCTGGCAAAGCCATGGGTGGATAGGGTCCCTTGCCCTTTCAGCTTATACCTTGTACTCCCTAGTCTTTAATTCATGGACCGTTATTGGTTTCATGCTGCCTTCTGGCATGGCAGCCAGCTCAGAAGGGTTCACTCACCATAGATGGGAAGGGAGCCAAAGCAAGAAAGAAGAAAGCTGGAACTAGGGCCCACAGCTAGCCATTTGGCCTCCTAGGGCTCCTGCTGTTCCCCACACCCCTTTCCACTAACCACCCCCTCCTCTTGCATGCTCTCCAACCCCCTGCTGCTCCCAGGCCCTTCCCCTTCAATCCAGCCATTTCCCCAGGCAATTCTAATTTTTCCTTTGGAAGTTCCTGCTGTACTCACTACTTCACTACTTCTCTCCTTCCCCTCCCATCCACTACCCCATCCGGTCAGGGGCAGCTCTCACCAGTCAGAACTGCTGCTTAGAATCAATCCCTGGTTGCATTTGCCTGCAGTGGATACAGCCTGGCTGGATAGCTCAGGGTAGCCCCACCCTGCTCAGTCTCCACCCAGCTCAGCTTGCTTGGGTTGGTGGGGGTGGTGGGGCTATGAGGGGACAGCTGTGTCCCAGCACCTGGTAGACTGAGCCCAGCTGTCCCTTCTTCTTCCAGTCTGGGAAGAGGAAACACATGCAGGAATTCCCCTGCTAGGGACAGACCTGAGCTGGAACCTAGACTGTACTTTGTAGTCTTCTGGGCTCCAGTCATTTCATGGGTTACCTCAGGAACTGGAGGAAAAACTGGAGGAGTCACAGAACAGGGTACTATATCGCAGGTGTAGTAAAACTGCTCCTAGATGGTGGCCTAATCCCAGGCTACTCCAGTGGCTGAGCCAAGGAGACTAGGTCTTGCGGTGTCTCTAGCAGATCCTCTCCAAGGGGCAGAGGATAGGAGGGGCTATTCTGTCAAAACTGAGCACAGGTACTGGGTGATGTATCCACTCAGGGACAGGGAGAAGGACATGGAGCTCAAGATCTTCTCAGGGCTAGAGAGCTGGCTCAGTGGTTAAGAGCATCTTACTCTTGCCCAGCACCTCATGTCAAACAGTTCACAACCCTCTGTAACTCTAGCTCTAGGGGGATCTGACATCTCTGGTCTCTGTGGGCATGGACACATACACAAACACACAAATTATAAATAAAATAGCAGTTGGGGATTTAGCTCAGTAGTAGAGCGCTTACTACCCTGGGTTTGGTCCTTAGCTGTAAGGGTGTAAGGGAACCCTCTTTTCTACTCATCCCCTGCCTCAGATTAAAAGAGGTTTAATAGCCAAGTATATCTCATTGGGTGTACGGCTGAGTTTTGTTTTGTGTTTTAGAACTTCATTCTCTTGATAAAGTAGGTATAATTCAAGGCTGAATTCAGGGGAGATAGTAGCCATGAAGTGTTTTGTAAACTTCAAAGCCATGGGAATGTGGTCATCATCCACCATCACGGTTGTTTCCATTAACGTCAGTGATTGCAGAAGAAAACAGAAGATCAAAAAGGAGTATAAAGGAAGCAGGCTAGCGTGTAGATCTATAGGCCACGTGTCCTCGGCTTGCTTCCTCAGGTAGTTGGTGGTCACATGCTTGTCCCAGGGTTGGATGAAGGATACCCAGTGAAAACGTGCCAGTCCTAAGTTCATGATTTGCGTGTATATAAGTGCACCCCTGTCGTACAATGCCCACAGTGGTCAGAAGAGAGCGTCGGATCCCCTGGAACTGGAGTTATAGATGGTTGTTAGCCGTCAGGTGGGTGCTGAGAACTGAATCCAGGTCCTCTGCAAGAGTAGTCAGTGCTCTTAACCACTGAGCTACCTCTCCAGCCACCACCCCCCCATTTTTTTGAGACACTATGTAACCCTGGCTGGCCTGGAACTCTATATAGGCCAGGCTGGCCTTGAACTCACAGAGCTCTGCCTGCCTCTGATTTCTGAGTCCTGGGATTAAAGGTGTGTGCACCACTGCACCCTACCCAAATTCATCATCTTACTCAATTTCTCACTGCAAGGGAGCAACAGTTAAACCATTATAAAAGTGAAGGAAGTGGGGCTGGAGAGATGGCTCAGCGGTTAAGAGCACTGACCGCTCTTGCAGAGGACCCGGGTTCGGTTCCCAGCACCCACAGGGCAGCTAAAAGCTGTCCTTAAGTCCAGTTCCAGGGGAATCCAAAGCCCTCTTCTGACCTCTGCAGCATTGCATGACATGGGTGCACTCACATATATGCAGGCGATACACTCGAACACATAAAATAAAAATAATAATTTTTTTTTTTTAAGTGAGGGAAGTGAGGTAGAGGGTCAGAGTGGTTAAGTACTTTACTCAGTCACACCAGTTAAATGGTCTGGTCTTGCCCCAGACCTGCCCTTTCCCCTAGTCCCATCTTCTGTAACTGGAAATTGCATTTTTTCTAGTGACTTTAGCCAAAACCTTGAGCGTTTTCCTGGACTCCTTGCTTCCTGGCACTGTAGTCCACTAACACTAGCAAATCTTGATGGCTTTACTTTCAAAATGGAATCTGGAGTGGAGTACACTGGTTTACACTTATAATCCCAGTGCTTGGGAGGTAGAGGCAGGAGGATGAGCAGTTCAGGACCATCCTTGGCTACATAGAGAGTTTGAGGCCAGCCTGAATTATATGAAACTGTCTCAAATTTTTTTTTAAATAATATTAGTGGTAGAGTGCTTGAGACAGGATAGAAAGACAGGAAAAGTTATGGGGACATGGGAAGAGAAATAAGACTCTGATTCCAGACTCTGATTAAAGCCTCTTGCCAGCCAAGAAGCAAGAATTCCAGCACAATTAACAGCATTTGCTGTGAAGGTTGCCAACATAGAGACAGTACTCTTATTAGGACTATATAGACATATTTTCAATTAACTTAAAAAATATGGGGCTGGAGAGATGGCTCAGTGGTTAAGAGCACTCACTGCTCTTGCAGAAGACCTGGGTTCAATTCCCAGCACCCACATGGCAGCTTATAACTGCCCTTAACTCCAGTTCCAGGGGAATCCAAAGCCCTCTTCTGACCTTGGCATTGCATGACACAAGTGCACTCACATGCAGGCAATACACTCACATACATAAAAAGAATTTAAAAAATAAATAAAAAGAAAACATATATGGGGCTGGAAAGATGCCTCAGTAGTTAAAAGCACTAGTTGCTCTTGCAGAAGATCCAGGTTCAGATCCCAGCACCCACGTGATGGCTAACAACCGACTGTAACACCAGTTCCAGGGGATCCGATACCCTCTTCTGTCCTCAGTCGACATTGCATGACATGAGTGCACTTACATGCTGGGAATACACTCATACACATAAAAATAATAAAATATTTTTAAAAATTAGTGTTAAAATACCACTAAACAAGGCTTTTCTTGGGGAAAGCCTGTTTTCTCACAGATATTTCCTGAGAATCTCACCAGCAGAACTATTAACTTCAGAGACTGGAGAACTGGCTCAGCAGTTAAGAGTACTGGCTGCTCTTGCAGAGGACCCAGGTTCAGTTCCCAACACCTACGTGGCAGCTAACAGCCATCTCCAGTTCCAGGGGATCCAGCGCCCTCTTCTGACCTCCAGGAGCATACTAGCAGGCAATATACTCATACACAAAAAAATAAAAAATTTTTTAAGTTACTTGTTTTGAGACAGTATCTCACTGTTGTAGCCTAGCCCTGTCTAGTCTGGAGCTCCCTATGTAGAACAGGCTGGCCTTGAACTCAAGGAGACTTGCCTGCCTCTACCTCCTAAGTATTTAAAAATGTCATTTAATAAACTTTAACTCTGCCAGGCATGGTGTGGTGCATGCTTTTAATCCCAGCACTTGGGAGGCCCAGGCAGGTAGAGTTCTGTGAGTTCAAGGTCATTCTAGTGTATATTGCAAGTTCCAGGTCAGTCAGGACCACACAGTAAGACCCTGTCACAAAAAATAAAACAACAAAAACTTCAACTCATTTCATACTGGTGGTTAAAAACCCAAAGGGTCTGCAAGACCCTGGGTAATGTAACCTTCCTTGGCTTCCTGATTTAGTCTTTAATTCTTGCCTCTCTTAACTCTAACCACTGTGGCCTGACTGTTCCTTAACTGTGCCTCAGAGGATAGTGAGTTCTGCTTTAGGGAGGAAAAAAGATGTTGCTTCCTTTGACCTTTCTCAGTTCTTTGGCTGGAATGTGAATTAGAGAGAGATTGATAGGTAAAATCAATTTTAATTATGTAGAGACTCATGGGAGTTCTCCAGAAATGTGAGACTGCAAGCAGGCATTGAGGTCTGTGTACCATCTTGAGCTACAGAAAGAGATAGGAGCCTAAGGTCTCCTGGGATAATGGAGACAAGCTAAGGGAGAGAAAAGCATGAATAGGTTTTCATGTAGATAGAAGTCTCAGGAGTAGGGTTGGAAATAGAGCTCAGTGGAAGATTGCTTATCTAGCATGCTCAAGGCTCTAGGCTGGATTTCTGTAACTACAAATAAAACAACCTTAGTAAGAAAAGCTGTCTTGGAGCTATCTTCCTGGTAAAAAAGACTTTACTAGTGAACATTTCCTTTATGTAAAATTTCCTCCATTCTGCCAGGTGTGGTGGTGCACACCTTTGATCCCAGCACTCGGGAGGCAGAGTCAGGCGGATCTCTGCGAGTTCAAGGCCAGCCTGGTCTACATAGTGAGTTCCAGGACAGCTGGGGCTACAGGGAGACCCTGTCTCAAAAAGACAAAAAACAAATTTCCTCCATTCCTTTATGTAAACTTCCTCTGCAAACGGGGTACCATGACAAAGAGGTACACTTTTGGGTGCCGTAGTCTGGTTTCCTATGACTTCATTTTAGGACAATGTGTCTTATGTTCCAAATGAAACTTTCCCCAAAATTTCACATTCCAACTTCCTTCCTGCTGGCTCTCTTTCATAGTTCCAGAAGACTATGTATGCTGCTGAGGGAGAAGAGTCATTAATGGTTTTACCCATTGGTGGATCCTGTATGTTATACCAACCTGCCAGGCAAGGGGTTGGAGAGATGGCTCAGCAGTTAAGAGAACTTGTTGCTCTTGCAGAGGACCTGGGTTTGGTTCCCAGCGCCCATCTGGAAGCAAACAACCATCCATAACTCCAGTTCCTGCCAGGCAAGATGTACCTGTTGGTGCAATAATAGTGTAAATGTTAGGGGAGTTACCAAACACCTTCAGATTAGATTTGAGACTTGCTCCACAGGAGGGAATTCCTAGTAAATCTGATCAAAAGCCTGTGACTCCAGAGGTCGTAAGCCCTAAGGGGGAATTTGTTAAATGACATATTGTCAAACTCTTCTAAATATTTATGGTTATACTCATAGATGAGTGCTGCTCTCAAACTTGGCCAGAGAAGCTTCTTTCTGCAGTGGGCAGTGTTAACACAGAGGTTCAGATGACTGCTGAATGCTTAGCTCTCAGTGAGATCTCTACATCAACCCTACCAAGGCTCAGACAGGGAATATCTTAGAAGAGGGGCAGAAAGAATGTAAGAACTAGTGAACAGGGGGAAATGCTGTGAAATGCTATTTTCTGGACATGACATGGCTGTTGTACTCAGTCACTCACTGTAGTTATGGTTAGCTGCTCAAGGCCTGAATAAGCCCAAGCCAACAAGATCAGGTAAACATTCCACCAGGCAGCAGTAACGACTCAGTGGGCTACAAAAGAAGGAAAGGACATGACGGTAGGAGAAGGATATGTGTGGGGATGTGCAGGGGGTGCAGGAGGGCAGAGTTAGGGGTGAATGTGATCAAGATATATTGTATATTGTATGAAGTTGTCAAAGAGCTGGACGTGGTGGCACATGCCTTTAATCCTAGCACTTGGGAGGCAGAGGCAGGTGGATATGAGTTCGAGGCCAGCCTGATCTACATAGTGAGTTCCAGGCCAGCTGGGGCTATAGGGAGACCCTGTCTCAAAAAGATCATAAAGGAAAAAAAAAAAGAAAGAAAAAAAATATGAAAAAAGTTTCACATTGCAGAAACTGGGTTGGAAGATTCTGCCATAAACACCTGACAAGATGCTTGAATGGAAACACAAAGCTAGAAGTTGGCGTGGTGACTCATATCTGTAATCTCAGCATTCAAGAGTTACGTAAAGACAGAAGACTCAGAGTCAACGGACACCTGTTATGAAGTGAGTTCATGAGTTCAAAGCCAGCCTGGACAATAAGAGATCATGTCTACGGGGAAAAAAAAAAAAAAAAAAAGCTTTTGCAGAGGACCCGGATTCAATTTCTAACACCTATATGGTGGCTAACAACTGTCTATCTACAGTTCCAAG